CACCACAAAGTTATAGGGTGAGTTTGATACCCAAAAAAATAATATTTAATTTTTATAACTAGTTGATTAAAATTCTTTCTAAAATAATTAAAATTACGAAATACGAAAGATAGATTTCATGAATGGAATCTGTATCATTGATGTGTCGTGAATTTATGATACTATTGACTCTCTAAACAAAAGATTATTGCAAGTTCTTAAGTATATTTATGTTTTCGTTTGAGTATTGATTTTTTTATTATTAATTAAGAACATTGTGGAGACAAACGGAGAGACCTTTACATCTTTTTCATAATTAAGCACTTCTTCCATTAATTCTCGATTGATTGTTTGATTATCATAAGTATCTTTAATATGAGTTATACATCAATCCTTGTTAGCGTTCTTACGACCATGAACAACTAAGCACCACAACTAGGGTTGTGGAAACCATGACTGGATAACAAAGTAGGTTAAGTACAAAGTAATTCAAAATCAATATGCATGTATTATTGTTATCTTCGATTTGCTCTGCTTTTTAACGAATGCACACTCACAGTTATTCAAGACTTGCTCGAGAGAGTTGATTAGGAAAAAAATAACAATAGCAAAAATTAAGAGCTATTAACCTTCGTTTAATGACTTGAGTCGGAGAAGAGATGATCTATCTAAAGTCATAAACAAGAGTTAGAAATTAATAGAAAGTCTAATTGATAAAATTAAATAGTCTAATTGAGAAAGAAACAATGAAAAATTCGATATTGCCAATAATTTTTCATTCTCAAAATAGTTGCGCATTTATTATGCTAGTACTTGAATAATCATAACTATTATTATTACAAGTACAACCCTTAGGAAAATGGTAGAATTTGATTCAGAATTATCCACTATGAAAAGTATAGTTCAAATTCGTCAAATTTAAAACAAATTTATTTTGTAAAAAAGTCATATATTTCATTTGGTATTTATCCATATATTTATTTTCTTAAAATAAAAGATACTCCGTTAATCATAGTTTTCAAATATATTTTTTTCCAATTGGGATAATTATTACAAAAATAATGTTAGCGTACTAGTCAAAAGTGATGGCTAGTAAGTATACTTGATCCATAAGATTAGAGTTAATATCTCGTCACTCAACTATCTACTATTTTCTCAGAAAGTCACTCAATTTTGTATTTTAACGCAAAAGTCATTCAACTATCCACTTTTTTCTCAGAAAGTCACTCAACTTTGAATTTTAACTCGAAAATCACTCAACTATCAATTGTTCTCTCAGAAAGTCACTCAACCTATTTAATTGATATTTTAATGATTCAAAATTTAAAAAAAATAAAAATACCATTTAAACCATTTAATGACCCGCCTCACTTGACCCGACCCGTTAAAAATATAATATTGACCCATTTTATTTTACCCATTTAATGACCCTCCTCACTATCCATTTTGAATGTGCAAAGTAAATAGTGGACAACTATTGTTGGATAGATGAAGTAATAGTTACATCAACACTTTAAGTTTGCATGTATTGACTCTTCAAGACGCCTGAAACTATTGAGCTACATCACATTGTTGTGTCAAGACTCAAGAGTGTTCATAATATATTATTTAACCACTTTGTTTATCATTTTATTTGTATATACGAAATACAATATAATTTTCCGACGAATGATGTCCAATTGAATACCCTGACATAAGAATAGCTACGCTCTTACAATCATTAGTAAATCAGCAGTCAAACACACATACAAGACGCAAAATCAAGCTACATTGTTGATCGACTGGTGAAAGAAAGAGCCACGGGAAAATGTTATGATACATTTAGAAATTTGTTAGTTCCTTTGATGTTTGTCGATAATGTCGTTTGATAATAATTAAAAATACTACAATTAGTAAATACCTAATTACTTGTCCACTTTTTCTTTTATAGTTGTCCCTAATTACTTGTCCATTTTGACAAATTAAAAAAGGACAATTTTTTTTTACCTATTATACCCTCAATTAAATGACTAATTACTTTGAAAAATGTAGAACTTTTCATCCACTTCATAATTAATAGGGGTAAAATGATACACTTACTATGTCATTAATTGTTTTCTTAATATATGTGTCAATTCAAAAGTGGACAAGTAATTAGGGACAGAGGGAGTATATGTTTGGGACAATAACATTGACATGGTGGACACATCTGGAATGTATATCTGGATGATATAGTAATTGGAAGTATATGATCCTGACCAACATGAGCTGAGTTGTGACTTGTGATTTATTGGTGGGATTGCTTTACTCTTAATTAGATGTTTTGAGTTTGAGTTCTGAATATGCATTTTTTTTGTTGAGAGCGTCATTTTAGAATGAACTCTACAGCACGGACTCCATACATCAAATGGGAAATAAAAGAAAATACTGACTATGCAAGCAGAGGAGCTAGGTGGGGGTTCGTGGGTTTGGAAGGACCCACTAGCTTTTTTATAGACCCTGTATTTGTATTAGAAAATTATATATATATATTAACTTGTGGCCACCTAACAAAATTGATTGACAGTTTAGCGGTAAGGAAAGAGCGGTGGAAATGCCTTTCACACTAGTGTTGTCGGTTTAAACTCTACCATCAATCTTCTGCCCTAAAATTTAGAACCTCAAACTCTTAATTTCGGCTCTGCCTCTATATGCAAATCATTGTTAAGCGTGGGGTGTGTTTGGTATGAAGGAAAATGTTTTCCTGGAAAACAAGTAGATTTTTGACTTATTTTCTCATGTTTGGTTGGTGAATAGAAAATATTTTCCGCAAAAGATTTTTTAGTGTTTGATTTATGAATGAAAAATCTTTTTGAGAAAATATCTTTTATTTTTACTAGAGAGTAGAAAATAATTTTTGAATTGAAATTGAAAATATTTTTTAAAAATAAACTTAATTTTTTTTTTGGGAGGGGGAGGGTGGGGTGGTGGGGGTGGGGATGGCGCGGAGGGGGGGGGAATAGGGGTGAGATGGGTTAAAAAAATAAAAAAATTGAAATTAAAAATATTTTTTAAAAACAAACTTAATTTTTTTTTGGAGGGGGTGAGGGGCTGATAGGGGGTAGGGGTGAGATGGGGTAAAAAATCAAAAAATTGAAATTAAAAATATTCTTTTAAAAACAAACTTAAATTTTTTTTGGAGGGAGGTGGGGGGGGGGGGGGGGAGGGGTTGGGTGGGTTGAAAAAATAAAAATTTGAAATTGAAAATATTTTTTATAAAACAAACTTTAATTTTTTTTTCCGGAGGTGGGGGTGGAAAATAAAAGTTTGAAATTGAAAGTATTTTTAAAAACAAAACTTTAAAAATTTTTTTGGGGGTTGGGGGGGTGGGGGCAAGAGTGGGGATGGGGTGAAAATAAAAATTGGAAATTGAAAATATTTTTTTAAAAACAAACTTTAAATAATCTTTTTTTTGGGGAGGGGGGGTAGGGGGTCGGGGTGAGGATGAGGTAAAAATAAGCTTTGAATTTATTTTTTCAACAAAAAAATTATAATTTAAAGTTGGAGGAAAGTTTTAGAAAATGTTTTCCTTAATTTTTGAAGGGAAGTCATTTTCCTTAAATTTAAGAAAAATGAGATGATTTGAAAAACATTTTCCAAATATTTAATCCAATCAAACATAAGAAAATTGGAAAACATTTTCCCTTCCTACCAAACACACGCTTGGTCAACTTATTTATATAGTTTGATATGCACAATTATATAGTTTGATATATCATTGTGCATACAGTGCATTTTGGAATCTCTAATTAAGATTTGATGAGCATTTACTAGTACACTATAACTTTTTTTGTTTTTTTGTGTGTGCAAATGTTTTTTTAACTTGTGTTTGATTGGGAACTTAAAGGCAGTTCTATTGTACTTCCTTTTAAAAAATTTTAAATGTCTAATTTGTATTTTGTACTTAAAAAGGTATTATGTAATAAATATTTATTTATTATGAATATTTTGAAATTTAAATTTGACTATTCATATTCTGAATAGTTTAGGATATCATTATAATAATAAAATAAAATAATAACAATCAATTCTTTCTAAAATTTGTTTAAATAACACAATATTTAAAATATATTTAAAAGTAAAAAGTAGCAAATGAAGTACTTTCCATGTCCATATCTATGTTCATGTTTGACTAGATATACCTTTTAAGAAACCATAAATATAATGATAATTTTACTGTATCATCTTTAAATATTTATAAGTCATCTAAATTCTAAATATTGGAAAATTAATACTCCCTTTATCCTATATGATATACTTTTATTTTTAGTCTTTTACAAAAAGAATAACATATTACTATAATTAAAAAATAATATAGCTTTAAAATTATCTTTTTATACTTAATGAAATGACTTATGATCAGCCAAATGATCAAAAAGTGTCTTAGACAACACACCTTAAAAATCTTCTTTTTTTAGAAAGAAAATATGTCAAATTAAATATTATCACGTAAATTAAAATGAGAAAATAGTATTTATTAAATTTCGCTATGTGAAACTATATTGAATATATTATTATTGCTATAATATAATAAACGAGTAAAAATGGACGAAAGGAGGACAATGGAACCATTGGATAATGTTTTAAAGTGAGGAGGCTGGCATTGCAGCAAAAAGTAGCTAAGATATGAAAGAGAATCTAAACACGAGTTTTGTGTTTGATAAATTCTGCCTGCTGAAATTAAGATATGCCAAACAGTAAAAAGCATTGAAGGACCCAAAAATGGTAAGAAGACAAAATTATAACAAATTATTGTACTCTACATAAACTGCAATATCATAAAAGTAAATCAATAATATTCGCTTAGCTTGAAAAAATCTATGTATTATTTTACATCAAATCAAAATTAATTATACATGATTTATTATTCATAAATTAATTATTCTATCTTTAATTCATATATAAAATAATAGATAAATGGACTCCTAACCGATATATATTATTAGTTAATTAATTATACAGATTCCATGTATTAGTTAATTAATTATACAGATTTTCCTAAATTACAAACCAAACATCGAATTTATCTTATACATAGTGGGAAAAAAAGTTACAAAACATGATATAATTTATACAAAATTTAATACATAAATAACTTATCCGCTAACCAACCCCTTAGATAAAGGGAAACTACAAAATAAACACAACCTTTTGCATTTATTCCAACTGTTAATGTTAAATAATAAACTTAATATTCTCCAACACCAGGATTGACCCAACTATACAAGTGTAAACATTCATTAAACTCACAAGTGACCTTTATTTCTAGTTTTCATCTACATTGCTTTGAACTAATGAACTGCAGTATAGTGATCAGTTGATCCACAAGAATTCATAACCACCATAGCAAGAGACTTATTGCAACACATAACCAACAACGGATCTCCGTCTCTCCAGTTTGTTTTTCGCCACTTTATGTACACACACTTGAACTACTTTTGGAATTTATCTACTGCGAGAGCAACGATTCAAGAGCTTTTGGATCACTGACTGGAGGACTACATGTGAAGTTTTGGCAAACAAGGGCTATCACTTTGTCCGCAGCAGCATTGTTTTTCCCCATCAGAGCAATATTTCCATTAGTTTCTTCCCAAAATGCCACCTCTTCCGCATCCGCGGGATCAATGTGAATCACCTATTCAGAATCAGTACGAGTCAGAAGCGAAATCCATAGTTGTACAATGTGATATGAACGATTTAGCTACTACAAGCAAAGTATTTACCGTCTTGTTAGGATCATATGCTGCATGAGCAGCAGTAACCATGTTTTCAAACTCCTCAGAAGACTTTACTCCGACTATAACTACTTGCTTTCTGGACGGAATAGCCAGCATATCTGCTGCACAGCACATCAGTGGCACAGCAACAGCTGCATCTTTCAATCTCTTCTCAAAAACCGCCTATTAAACGCAAAGGTTAAAAATCTACTGGGAACAATACATGGATTATATAGTCAATGTAAGATGCAGAAAGTTCAAGGCAATAGGCGTACCAGGACATGTTCTGCGGTCTCTCTGTAAAGTTTTGATTTTTCACCAGCAACCATAGAGGCCAATCTCACTAGATTAATCACAGAAACGGAATTCCCTGAAGGCTCAGCCCCATCATGATCTTCTTTCACACGTAGAAGAACAGAAGGATCTTCACCAGTTGTGTTAAAGTAACCTCCTCCAGTTTTGTCGAGAAATAACTCATCCTGCAAGAAATAGTTCACAGTAATAAGAACTTGTCCCATTCACCAGAAGATCCTAAATTTTCCTTACCTGTATCTCCTGAAGTTTGAGTGCCCAACCCAACCAGAAGACTGAACCGCCGAATTCATAAAGATCCAGTAGACCTGCTATCAAAAATGCATAATCATCTAGAAATCCAGGTGCTTTGGAGGGACCATTCCTGAAGCTATGCTGCAGCCTGCGCGTCTGTTCATTATAAAGGTGTTTCCTAATAAAATATGTTGCTTTCTCAGCGACATCCATGTACTCCTTGGGCTGAACATAACAAGAAAAATAATTACGCAGACAACAGAAAAGTAACTGCCACCAACAATACTTAATCTAGGACGTCCAGTTGACTAAACGTGTAGCCAAGATACTTTGCAATAATGAGACTTTGTAACCAACAAAAGTTAACTAATGGACATAGACAAATCCAGTGACACAGATTTTGGTTTAAGCTGCACAGAGTTGGAGGACAATGAGGATCTGCATTTCATTAAACATACTGAAATTAAGAGCTTTTAACAAAAAATTTACCACCCCCAGTCTACAAATTTCCACATCTTCTGAGACTAAACAAGTGTCACGGATTTATCAGACTAACCTATCTCTTAAACTTAAAGGTGGCTCTGAAATCTTACATTGGTGCCCGTCACTGGAAAGTAGAATCTTGTTCCCTCTGGTTCTCCCTTCAGGATTTTTGACGCCCTGGCCAGAGATGAAATCACTAGTCCATTCCATGATACAATAACCTACAAGAATAGATAACTCATCACACTAAACCTAATGAAAATAAAATACACACCTAAAAATAATATACCTTATCATCCAGATGCGGTCGGGGACGTTTCGACCTCACATCAAAAAGTTTTCGGCGAGCATTTCCTAGGATATCAAGATACTCCTCAACAGGCAAAGCATGTTTTGATGCCATTGCAGAGGTACTACTTCTTTCTATTAGCACGTTTTTGTCCTTGAATTCATTATGTGGATCACTCTTTCTTGAAAGATCACAATTACCTGAGGGTTTTATATAGTAGTGATCCTTGACGAGTGTTGCATGCTCGCCTACTATGTTGTCAACCTTCAGAAAGATGGAACCAAGTCAAAGTACGCACTCAAGCTCAACATTGGCAGAAAATTGTGGCACACAAATAGTTCTCTTGGTAGGTCTTCCGTTTCCTTATTTTACTTTTTAAACTACAAGTAACCATGTCCTACAAGACTATATTTCTGTTAAAAACTGTCTTCCTATATGTAGATTGGACTAAGCATTGATCCAACTGTTTTAGCATGTCTGACGACTGGACTCTTTTTGAAGTAATGACAAACCTTCCATGACAGCAGTTGAGAATAAACAGGATTTATGCAACCTATTTGGCGAGAAGAGCTACTTGGTAGGATTACATAATTTGTAATCTGATTCAAAAGAAGGATCACTGCAAATGTAGATATAGCTGACCTTGCATCAAAATTGGATGTGCCCAGTCTCCAACTTACAAGTAGGCTGGGTTGTTGACCTTCGATGGAATTTTATTTTACACACTTCCCACGGATAATCTACTATAGATCAATGCGTATAAATTTCTATAGAATAATCAAATTCATTGAACAACACAGATTCTAAGTTCACAATTTAATGTTCCTGTTTCATGAGTCAAGTTGACTACTAAATTGCTATACCATATTGTCATTTTCCAAAACCATATCAGAGCTTTCTCCAAACTATAAAGATTTGCAACATATGGAGCTAGATATCAAGAGTCAAGACACAATATAAGCTGGAGGTCAACTATTCCATATATATAGTCAAGAAGATGATCAGCCAACAATGATTTATACATGTGCGAATACCCAAAATTTAAACAACAAAACAAGAAAGGATACTAGTTCTGAAAAAATTGTTGGTAAAAACAATTAGAAGTCATAAGTACCTCAGTACTAGTCCAGACATAGAAAGCACCCTCCTTTTTCCGTGAGGCACCTTCAGATTCATAACTATCAGCATCTTCAGCCGAATATATTTCACCACTAGGACCAATCATATCCCTTCTCAGGTAGTCAAGTATATCACGAGACAAACTTGAATAATACACATCCTTTGTGATACTAAAGGCATCCAAATAGACATTAACAAGTTGACCTTGATCATATAACATTTTCTCGAAATGTGGAACTGCAAGAAGCAGGAAAGGAACACTCATAAATTGAACAACAAAATTGGATTTAAAATTGATATCAGAACACATACATAACAATTTAGCTCACCATGCCAGCATTCATCTACACTGTATCTGTGAAAACCACCGCCAACATGATCATGGATACCACCCCTCGCCATGCATTCTAAAGTGAATAAGACCATTTTTAGAGCATTCTTGGCTTCACCTGAGTTTCCAGTCTCTCCAGACCTCTTTGAGTTGTAAAGCATCAGCTGCATCTCAACTGGCCTGGGAAACTTGGGTGCAGAACCAAAACCACCATATTTTGAATCATAGCTTTCTGCTAGCTGTAGCAGGAAGTTAGACCATCATTAACAACAACACATATTTTGAGAACCGAGATAATTAAATCCTTAAGACTAGCATTCAGATGGTCAAATTTCAGGAACATGCAAAGATGTCATATGATCAAGTCAGTGAGAGACTTACCACACTGAGGATTAACTACCACAGAGAAAAGGGCAATATTTATCGTGAGTAATCTGAAGAATTCTGAAGTAGTTTAAATGATAGGGATAGCAGTAATAGAGAAGAGACAGGAGAAGGTAAAAGGTCTCTCTCAAGCATCAAATGTGGTTCTTCTCGTAACTAAGAGCCTGTCTGGATTGGCCTTTAGCTTTTGGCTTATTTTTATCATTTTAGCTTAAAATCAAATGCTTATAAGCACCTTTTTAATTTACCCGAACACTTCGAAAGTGCTTAAACGCTATTTAGGCTTAAAGCACTTAAAATAAGCCAATCCAAACATGCTCTAACTCCAAATAGCCAGGTTGCCACCACATGCAAAGAAAACTCAACAGCAGATTTTCAGAAAATCTTACATGATCAGCACATTTACGCAGTGCGGTTTGCGGAACCTCATCTGAGAGCTTATTTGATGTTGAAGTTGCTGCCAAGGCTTCTGATAATTGTTCTATTGCAAACGCCCCACTCTGGATAAGTGTATCTCTCTTGCTATTCCACGCTTCCTTCACTTTCCTAAGCATGATGATGAAGTACACAGGAATATTCTCAGAAGTTTGAATTGAACATTGATGCTGCTCGACAGCAATTGAGCTTAAGAAAAATGCCATTCATACTTATAGTTGAGCAGAAGTTTATGTTGAACCACTTAATCTGAAAGTGCAGAATGAACACACCTAAGTATAGTTTTAAATCCCGGCCTTCCATATTTGTCTTCTGGAGGAAAATAAGTCCCACCCATCAAGGGCTTCAAATCAGGTGAAAGGAAGGCACTTAGTGGCCAGCCACCACCACCATATAAAGCTTGCACATATGTCATGTACACCTGAGAGAGAATCAAAATTGAGCTACTCAACGCAGATAGCATCACTATTGTCAAATTGAAAAACAAATAATCACCGAGGAATCAAGCTTAGTCAATAAAATGCCAGTCTAATCACGTTGCAAAGACTCATGCTTTCACTGTTTGCACATCAGATGACCAAGAAAGTGATTGCAGCAAGTTATTTCCAAAGAGCATGTTTACTATCAATGAGGATTACCGAAAATAACCAAGGGCAAAACTGAGCATAACCCAATAAACACACATGTAATCATATAGGGCAATGCAGGTTCAACTGGAATGATTTTGATTTAATCCAAGAAACAAGTTCAAAAGAGAATCAATTATAAATGCGATTTGAGCATTGATTCAGTAAAACAAATTCTACCTTATCAACATCTGGACGCTCCTCTCTATCAACCTGTCCACATACAAGTAAAGGTAACTAAATGTCTATTATTCTCCAAATATTCAGATAACCAAATATATGTAGCTCAAGCTGTAATTAGCATGAACAAAACTTTCAGATTCACCTTAATGCTAATGAACCAATCATTTAGCAATTTGGCTACCTCTTCATCTTCAAAAGATTCAACTTCCATAACATGACACCTTATCAATGAATAAAGCATCAGTCTTCCACTATACTAATTTCTTGCACCTTTCCAAGTAAAAAAATCGAAAAAACTCACCAATGACATGTACTGTAACCAACTTCAAACCAAATACAACATGGAAGATAAAATATGTCAATATTACTGAAATAAATCCAACATTAATATAACGAAACACAAAAAGTCACTGACTTGATAAGAAGATTGGGACATCTCTTTTACGAGCTTCAGCAAACGCTTCCTCACCCCATGGATACCAATCAACCTTCCCACAATGAAACAAAGTAAAAATCAGTGCATAAAATTTTCTATTCTATCAACAATTTCAACTATTTTTGTTCAAAATAATCCAATTAGTACCGGATTATGAGCGTGCTGAAGAAGGTAAGGACTATGTTCAGAAGCGAGACGATTGGTATGTTTATGGGTCTGTGAAGAAGTACTGAATGATGATGATTGTTGTTCAGCCATGGGAAGAACACGGATGGGTTGACGAAAAAAGGGCTTAGTGGATTTACACAAGTACCGAAATGAGGAAGATGATGAAGAAATTAGGAGTTTATTGAGCATAGAAGATGATTTTGCAGAAGCAAAAATGGTTGAAAATTGGGGGTTTATATTTATAGTGAGAAGAGAAGGTTGAAGAAATGGTGCGAACCTCCATGCCATTTGGAGGATTTGACGAGTGTTGGATTCACTGATGATGATGATTGACTAGAGAGTTCGACACGTTGCAGCTACTGAAGAAAACTGCGGTTATACGGTTCCACTGGTGCTCGATATCCAGACAATTTTTGTTTTTTTGAGAGTCGGGTTTAAGTTTGATTGAAAATTTGTTCAATTTATGTGATATTTTTTGTTTTTTGAGAGTAAACTTAAGTTTGATCGATATTCAGCTCATGGAATTTTCAACTTTTTTTAAATGAAATTTATACGTTTATTAACTAAGTAAAAAGTACTAGAAGTCACAATTATTAATAATTCAAAATAAAAAATAAACTTATTTGAATCTCAAAATCCTAAAGGTAGCACATAAATTGGGACGGAAGAGTAATTTGAAAGTTGAGTATGTAATCTAATTGAAACACTTCATTAAAAGTTGAGGTGTTTAGTTAAAATAAAGTTTAGTTCAAGCGTGTAATGGAATATTCGTAATAAGTTTAAGGATTGATTACATATTAAATTTAAATTAATTCAATATCATTAGCTTTGTAATGATAATCAATTACGGGAGCATTCATATCATCTTTCTCACCATTTGTCTCATTACCGAATATCAATGGTATGTGGTAAATTTATTTGCTTTCAAATGATTGTCAACTATTGGCCAATTCGACTTGGGTATGTTTTATTTCAAAGTGCATTCTTTTAGTAAGTATGATAAAACAAAAATAAAATCAAGTAAGCATCGGTCATAGATAAATTAAAACTATAGATTTAATTGTAAAAATATCCTCTCGTGTTGCATATAGATGGGACACATGACAAAGTCGCCCCTATCACTAAAGGGACTAATGCACTCTACGATTTTCTCAAGATATAGTGTCTTGAAGACTAAATTTAGGTGTCAACCCTAATTAGATAGCGGAAAAACTTCTCTAATAATAAGGTAGCTCCAACCTATATAAGAGGGTCGTTAGATCGTTGCTTACTAACCGTTGGTATATCCTGGGCCAAGCAACCAAAGCCGAGGAACTAGGTGGGAATAGTGATAAAAAGAGAAGGAAAAAAGCAGCAGGGTAGAGGAATAATAGAGTTAACCTTTTTTTACCCAGGCTGGAGGACAAGTACCAATACAAACGAAAACTACATCAAAGTGGAAGGTCTAGTATAGAAGCTAGAAATAGCTAACCTATAGTAGTCAGCATGACCAAAGCCTCACGACAACATAACATTAGCCTTACAGATTGAATCGCGAAAGAAAACAGATGGGAAACAAAAGGCAAAGAAGAAGAAACCAACAAACAAATCCGTAGAATATCAGCGTTAAAAATGAGCGAAATATGCACAAGCAATATAATGATTTTCAGATTGATGAAGAAATTATGCACAAGGATTACATTGATTTTCAATAATGAACTTCTTGTTGAAGTGTTCTGTAACATTTAGAAGCCAAGTTCCAAAAAAGGATCCTGGTTAGCACTAGATCTCCTCATTCTTTTGTGCTGATCCTAGATTTACAACAATTCTAACAAGAATGATATCCTTACGGTCCATTTAAACAATGCTGATCCGAGGACCCATCGGGATTTGTGTGAGAAGTGTTCCACGAAGGAAAAAAAATAGAACTTCTAGCGAAAACAAAGGTCTCAAATTATCAAGCAGGTGCACTGGCAGATTCAGCAAGTTCTTGCAGTAACTCTTGTTGCTCCAAAGTAGAACAAGACTGCACAAAGATGAAATTAGCATGACAGTCTTAATGGGAATTCTTACCATCCCCTCCCCTAAGGGGTTCCAAATAGCTACTTAGCAAAGTAACATACCTGAACAGCTGTCTCGATGTCACCCTCAAGAAACGTCATAAGCGGAAAGTTCATTTTTAGCCGATGATCAGTGACCCTATTGTCCTGTGAACATCAGAGAAAAGAGATCAGAATGATGAAAAGATGGGGCACAAGGGTTGGTAATCCAAAAGAGAACCGTAGGAACCAGTCAGAATATTTCAAAAGAATGCAGAACCATGAGTATGCTTCACTTGTACCATCACTTTTTAAGCAATAATCAGGAAAAACACAACGTTTACAGTTTTTCATATTCAGTGAAAGTACTTGTTTCTATGAACCAAAACTGCAGTTTGAGATTGTGGTAGGATATTATACCATCATAATCATTAATTGGATGCCAAAAGTTTCTTTGGGGAATAACACACTTTTCAGTTCAAGGAATTATGGCTTAATTACCTTGTAGTTGTATGTCCGAATTTTTTCTGACCGAGCACCAGTACCTACCTGTCATTATAAAGAGTCTAATAAGGAAAATTAACAAGATATCTTGTCCTTGTGCTTTTTAATCTAATACGAAAATTTATGAGATCACAAGGCCTAAAATTGACCATATAAAAAATGTTTTATTAGCTTGGTCATGTTATGTAAACCCAGGAAACAATTATAACATATACAGGTCAATTGGTTTTGTGGCTCATTACAATTCAGTTTTATGCCAAATCTACCTATAATTCTTTGTTTTTACATGTAAGAGATCTTTGCAGGGTCATTTTCTTCCATTCAAATTGTAAAAGGTTGTGTTAAACCATTTCCTCGACATTTACTTATCTGTCACAGACACTATCAATATGAAAGGTTTGCAGTAGTGATGGTATATATTAGATGATCAGCAGGTAGATATATGTAAGCTACTTGAACTTGTGGAACATATAGGTATGTTCCATATGGATATCATTTTAGATTAGGACATTTAAAAGAAAACATAAAAAATATGGTGCCAACCATGTTGATTTGAGTATCCCCTTCCTACTGCATTTTGAGTAGGCTAGTTCAACGATATGAAGGTTTAGTTATCTTACCTGTAATTTTCTCTGATTTCTTATTGACTCCTGCTGCTCCCTCAGCTTAATCTCATACCTGGAAGAACGTCACAAGTCATATCCATGCACAGATAATAGTAATTCCAGAAGTTATGGACATAGTAAAAATTTACATAATTATCACCTTGTGTTAGTAATAGAGAAAATGCATACATAGTAGTGAAATAACATGAATGTACCAATGTATAAAGATGATACATACATGGAACTATGTAGACTGTCCATGGCTCTTCAGCCTAGACAATTATTCCGGTGAATTTTAGGACCCATAAGATTTTGGTTCTAGTTCACTAGCAGATAGTGCAGTCTGAAACTAATGACATATTTCATTGCAAGTAAAATTATGTAGGGATTCATATATGAATATGACCATCATAGAAATTGTCAAATGGTGAAGATCAACTAGAAAAGGGATGACACAGAGGGGTCATCAGCTCTTGGACAAGTTTCCTTCCAGTGATTGTCTTGATTGATCGATCACGGGCTCTATCAGCCAGTGACCAAATTTTTGACAACCCCAAATCACATAGCCTTGTGGACTTCCATAAAAGCAAATGAAGTGTCAAACCATAACCATGCCTAAAGGATAAAAGGCTAACAATAACAGACCTTTCTTGTTTTTTTTGAATCAGGTAACATGATAGACCTTTATTGTTTGATGCATTGGAAACTTGAAAGTTAGTCTATGGGATTATCATTGTCAAAGAACATAGCCAAATACTAACAGATTCTTCCTTAATCACGTAGGTTTCTTTAGTTCACACTATTATATATGGCAAGGTTATCTAGATATGAAGAACACATACCACATGCTTAATGAAAAGCATATCTGACATGGGCAATCACTTAAGTTTGTTTCACTCTTAAACAAGCAAATGAAGGTGTTCTAAGCAGTGAATTTTTTTGACACGCAAACAAAACTATTCCGCAGAATTGAAGTAAAGTCCAGACACGGGCGGATATAACCTTTTGGCAACAGGTTCACCTGAACCCATAACTTTCAACATGGAGTGTAGATATATATGTAAAAACCTACTAAAATCTCAACAAATATTAGGCTTGAACCCATAATTTTAACTGTACAATGAGTTCAATGTGGAAAATCTTAAAAGCTGTACCCCTTAAATTTAATTTCTGGATCCGTTTCTGTGACCAGACATAGTGGGCAGTTCAAACACCAGAAACTTTCTTTATAGGATCTAGAAAGCAGTACTTCAGGTTCGCATCAGTAAGTATATCATTTTCTTAAGCAAACCTATCTAGTTGCTCTCAGAAGAGGTCATCTTACAAGCAAGGGTTTCTCACCTAATCCATGGGACTAATTTCATCCATATCTAAGTTGAGCAATTCTGTTTTTTATCTTTTATTTCTATATAATAAAGTTCAGTAACTCCATTAAGCAAAAAACTTATATGTGAATCAATGTCCCTTACAATTTTGCTCTCAATAGTTGGAAAGCACGATTCTTGTTTTTAAGCTGACTCCTTTCTTCAGTACAAAAGATTCTAATTCCTGTTGGTTTATGGTAAAGATCAACTGCAGTCTCCACCTTGTTAACATTCTGCCCTGCATAGCATAATCATGCATTAATATATGCATGTCAATAAGCACAAGAAGTTCATGTATAGGGAAATGTAGTAGAACATGAAAAATTGAATCATCATGTACCTCCAGCACCACCAGAACGTGCTGTTGTTAGTTCTATATCCTTCGGGTCAATTTCCACATCAACTTCATCAGCCTGAAACCATAAAATATATCAAGGATGAAACCAAAAGAAATAACAGCTGCAGAACAACAGGGAACTGAAAAGACCTAGGGATACTTGGGGAAAAACAATCAAAGAGAACATAATGAAAACTCTACGTAAAATTGGAAGTCTGGTGATCGGCAACAACTCAGTTGTACATGGTGATTTAAATGATGCAGCAAGCTATGTGATTGCTACAACATTTGGGATGAACTTGCAGATAGTACAATTACATAAAAAAAGAGAGAGAAATATTGAAAACACCCCTAAACTCCGCACAAATTATTAGTTTCATCCCCGAACTATTGACTGCCTTAAATACACTCCTTTAC